TATGTTAACTTCTTTGCCTGCAGAAGCATAGGCAGGACTATGATGGCAGACAGCTGAATTTCAAAACGGATGAAATACTGACTTAGGACTGCCCTTCAGTGATGGGCACTGCATTTCTCATTTCCACTTTCAAGCATCTGACGCCTATTTCACTCCCCTCCTCCTCCAATAGGGTGGTGCGTAGTTTCCAGGGAACACATGTTGAGCACAGGCCCTGCATCCATCCCTGCTGTGGAATATTATTTTAAGATGTATTACATTTGTTTGTGCTGTGGAACATTGGTTCGATGATGCAAAGATGTGTTGCATTCTTTCTTTTTCCCCCAGAGTTTCTCTGTGAAAGTCATAGCTGTCCTGGAACTCACTCTGTGGACCAGGCTGGCCTCGAACTCAGAGATCCACCTGCCTCTGCCTCCCGAGTGCTGGGATTAAAAGCCTGATCCCCCACATCCCGCAATGCTGCATTTGTTTACCTCTGAAGCTGTGTTACTCTGCAGTCTGAAACACCTGATGGTCTAATAAAGAGCTGATGCCAACAGCAGGGCAGGAGAGAGATAGGCGGGGCTAGCATGTAGAGAGCATAAATAGTCTGAGAAAAGGGAGGGAGACCAGGACCTAGAAAGGGAGGCTCCAGGGGCCAGCCAGCCACGGAGTCAAAGTGAAAGTAAGATTCACAGAAGAGAAAGACAAAAGCCCAGAGGCAAAAATGTAAATGGGACAATTTAAACTAAGAAAAGCTGGCAAGAAGCGGGGTGTTGGTGGCGCACACCTTTAATCCCAGCACTCAGGAGGCAGAGGCAGGCGGATCTCTGTGAGTTTGAGGCCAGCCTGGTCGACAGAGTGAGTTCCAGGACAGCCTCCAAAACAATAGAGAAACCCTGTCTCGAAAAACCAAAAAAAAAAAAAAAAAAAAAAAAAAAAAAGCTGGCAAGAAATAAGCCAAGTTCAGGCCAGATATTTATAAGTAAGAATAAGCCCCGCTGTGTGATTTATTGGGAACTAACTGGGCGGCAGGCCCCCAAAAGAGCTAAATAGCCAAAGAGTAAAAGCCACCAACTACACATCCCTAACTCCTCACCAGGCTTGCTACTGGTAACACCTTGGCTGCACCTGTGTAACTAGAACAACCCAGTTCGTGACTCTGCTGACAGGCTTCGTGTGCGCTCGGTCCCCAGAACCAGTTCCTGGGAGCCTGGCATATGTGAAACCATATGGCTGGGCCTATACACATATTTACATGGGGGGATGGGAGGGGAAGAAAAAAAATCCAGTCACACAACAAAAAAGGTAAGTTTTCCAGAGCTAGACATCAAACCCAAGTGTGCTTCCTACGACAGAGTATCAGCCACTCACAAGGCACACAGCTCTCGAGCCTCCTCCCCCTCTCTGTCACCATCAGATCTTCACCACCCTGTGTGAAAGTAATTCAAACATCACTTTGCCTTGGGCACTGTGAAAATGCCAGAAGCCAACTAGATTTAGACCCCATTTCTGCAGCACAGACCATCTTAACTGGTCCACAGCCCCATCCTCTTGAAATAACCAAGGAAAGGTTCCGAGAGGCCCAGGCCTAGGGAGGCTAAGAGTCATACTGCCCCTCAGGACCTGCCCACACCCTGACTCATCACAAGACCTCAGATCCAAAAGATATGAGACACTCATTCTGCTCCAGAGCAAACTAAAAGCTGCTCTCCACGTTCCCACCCTCCTAACACTTCCCCCAGTGGAAGTGAGAAAGACCACGCTATTTCCAGGCAGACACTCGACATTCACAAATGAGCAGGTAGGTCTAAAACCACCCAGACCTCACCTAGAGGAGAGCCCACAGAATGCCATACTAACTATTCTCTCAAATCTTCAAAACTTCAGGTGATAGTTTTTATTCACTTGTATTCACCATGAGGTGTTGACCTCACTAAAGGCAGTGTCTGCACATTCCTGTACTCTGGCAGGGGCTCAGGGCTTGCTGCATGACAGAAAGGCACTGCTCTCTTGCAGAACAGCCAGACAGCACCTTGTTGGCGGAAGCTTAAAGGAATCTGTCCCGTTTTCACATCCCATGGACTCAAGCAGTCTCATTGTTACACACAATGGCTTCCTCAGGAGCCGAAGGAGCCCCTCAGCCAGAGCAAGATGATCGACCCACATCTGGCTCTCCTGCAGGTGAGCAGGGCCAAGCAGTCAAAGATGCAGATTCACACGACTACAGGACCCGCTCAGAGCCCAGCCCTGCAAGAGCAATTAGCAGACACCAATCTGATCAGGTTAAGAGAAGGATTTGCTAAGGGATAAGAACAGTTCACAGAGGCCGGGCACTGGTGGTGCACACATTTAATTCCAGCACTCGGGAGGCAGAGGCAGGTGGATCTCTGTGAGTTCAAGGCCAGCCTGGTCTACAAAGCGAGTTAGTTCCAGGATAGGCTCCAAAACAATATAGAGAAACCCTGTCTCAGAAAACAAAAAACAAAACAAAACAAAAAACGGTTCCCAGAATCACTGGGACTGTAAGGAAACAGACCTGCAGGCAAAGCAGTTCCGGAAAACAGCTTTTCAACTGCACTGCCAAGGGGGCTGCAGCCTTCAAGATGGCCCGGATAAAATAACAGCACAGGAAAGCAGCCAGCGCAGGGAGCGCACACTGCAGCTGCCAACTGCACAACCTAGCTCCTTTCTCAAACAGCCACAGCAGGCCAACTCCACTCTCAGCCCCTGTGGCTAGGGTGGTCTATGCAAGGCTTTAGACTCCAGCCTCAGTTTCCCCAAGGAGTCTCAGCTGCATGCACTGTAAGAGGCTGGAAAAGGCACTCTCTGGCCGTCTAGTGCAGGGTTCTATGGCTCACTCAGTCCTGTGTTCACAGGTGCTGCCCCCCTGGCACATAGCCAGGTCCATACCGTATGTCCTGCATCTCTTAAGGCCACTCCTACAGCAGAGGCTGATTATACGACACCGTGTAGTGCTTTGTCTAGCTGACTAAAACTACAGATGATCCGTGGTGTCTTGTTTGCTTCAGTGGCAGGCAGGAGTCTAGTATCTTCCTCCTCCCGCCTCCCACACGCCAGGTCATAGGCGTACATCACCAGTCATCCATTCTTACCTACACTACAGACGAGGCACATGTTAGAGTAAGCAAACTGTTTCTCCCTTTGGTGGGGGGTGGGGGCACGACACCAGAGGGGGCGACACGGACAGACGAACGGACGAACAGGACACACACAGGAGTTTCTCTGTGTAGCCCTGGCTGGACTCCTGGAACTTGCTCTGCAGACTAGGCTGGCCTCAAACTCAGAACTCAGATATCTGCCCACCTCTGCCTCTAGAATTAAATTCATGTAAATTTCTAGCCAAATACTCTGAAGATTTTATAGCCAGGTAGTGGTGGCATATGCCTTTAATCCCAGCACTCAGAAGGCAGAGGCAGGTGAATATCTGTGAGTTGGAAACCAACCTGGTCTACAAAGAAAAAGAAAGAAAAGATTTTATTTATTTATTTAGTACACACAGGGAGAAGGATCCTTTGCCTCCAAATAAAGAGGCCTGTGAGGCAAACATGCAGGTGTGAGGATGGAGCTCTGATGGCCAGGCTGCTACCACAAGGAGACAAGCCAAGGTAAACGCCAAAGAAGCAAGGACAGTGGGACAAGGAGGAGGACAGAGGGACCTGGCCCTGGCCTGCAGGAGTCCCTCAGTCAGTCCAGCTGCAGCTGGCAGGCGCAGAGTAGGAGGAGAGAGACAGGCAGGACAGGGGAGGAGCCTCGAGTGCGGCAAGAGGGCTCTGGGTAAGACAACTGTCAAGGGGCAGCCAGAGCTCCACCAATCGGAACGTCAGCAGGCTTCTGCCGTTGTCTGACATGGGCTCATGTAGTGACTCACTGCTGCTGAAGAGGACTGGAACTTCTGATTCCCCTGCCTGTACCTGTTAGTGTTGGATTACAGGCATGCACCATGACCCCTGTTTACACAGTTAAACTCAGAGCCTCAGGCGACACAATCTTCTGGCTTGGTTTTGGTAGTACTAGGAGTGGACCCTTGCCATGCTAGGCGAGCACTTTACCACCAAACCATATTCCCAGGCCTGGTAGGTCCTAAGTGCTGCTTTCTATGTCCATAAAGTCAGAACAAGCAAATAGATTCACAAAATACTGGCACTGGGTGGCAAGGAAGTGCATGGGGACATGAGAGCTCACGCTGCTGCATTTGTCACAAGTCCAAAGCCAGGCTGCATGGGAAGAGCTGAGCATGGAGTTGCCACTGCTGGCTGTGGAGAAACACCAGTTCCTTCCTCTTGGCCCCCTCTCCCGGACTATGAGCTTTTTGGAGAGGGGAGTTTCTGGGCCTGAGCCCTGTCCTGCACACTAGGAAAGCACTCGCTCACTGAGCTACAAGCCCAAACCTCCTAGGCTGCAAGTTCTCAGACTAAGGGACTCAGGGCTCACACTCTGACTTTTGTTTATCCTGGCACATTTAGTAAGGTGTAGGGGTGTGGTCAAAGCAATGAGCCCATGTATGTTGCACACAATATGACTAAAACCCTGTCATCTCTCAAGCTGTCCCATCACCAGCACTAGTCATGGTCCCCTGTAGGAAACAGCATGAGCCACACCAATCAGCTGGCTCCTGTTAACACTGACACAATCTATGGCAAGTACCAGAGGCAATGCTGGAACTGAGCCACGCGAGGTCACAAAGTCCCGGCAGATGTCACTAGATCTAGTCACTGACAGCCTTCTTCCTGTGAAAAGGCTGACCAACGCTGCAGCAGTGAGGGTGTGGTGTGTGCTCTCTCTCTCTCTCTCTCTCTCTCTCTCTCTCTCTCTCTCTCTCTCTCTCTCTCTCTCTCTCTCCCTCCCTCTCTCTCTCTCTCCCTTCCTCCCTCCCTCCCTCCCTCTCTCCTTCCCTTTCTCCCTCCCTCCCTCTCTCCCCCCTGTGATCCCCCGCGTGATCTGTGGGTGGGTGGAGACGTAGGTAGGCAGTGTCTACAGCACAGGCACTCAGCACGTACCTCCTCACAGACTTCCCGTTCCGCTGCCACACTCGGCTCCTCCTCAGGCTCCATGCCTCCTCCAGGAACAATCCATCGGTCTGGATAGCGGCTACTGCTCACGAGCAGCACCTGAAGTCAGAGGTCACAGGGAGGGTTAAACATTCAAGAAAGCACTCACAAATCTGTCACAGAACAAGTGCCACAGTAACTAAGAACTAGCTCTTGTTCACACCCCAAATAACTTTCTGCAGTGGTGTCTCTGTGGGCGCCTGCTGGGCAGCACCTCAGGCCGTGGCCTTTACCTCCCTCACACTCAGTGGTCTGTCTCCCTTCCCTCATTCCTGTCCTTTCTTCAGAGCTAACAAAGGGACAAATGAAACAGATGGACTGACAAGCCTGGGAGAGCGGAAAGAGAGGACAATGACATCGTCGTCTGTGGACACCACCACAGGCCTCACCACACAGCTCTGTCCTGAGCGCTCAGCACACACCGAGAGCTGGGTTCGCTTTGGCTCCAGAGCTGCGGTCCTTCCTTGCACTACTTACGCAACCCCATGGTAGCTGACCAGTGCAGTTCTTTTTGGTTATTTTCTTTTTTGCTTTTGTTTGTTTGTTTTTTGTTTTTTTTTGAGACAGGGTTTCTCTGTGTACCTCTGGCTGTCCTGGCACTTGCTCGGTAGACCAGGCTGGTCTCGAACTCACAGAGATCCGCCTGCCTCTGCCTCCCTAGTGCTGGGGCTAAAGGGGTGCACCACCAACGCCCTGCAGTTATTTCTTTTTTAAACGTGATTATTTTCTGTATACAGAGTACTGTCTATGCACCATGTGCATGGAGGCCAGAAGAGGACGTTGGATGCCCATAACTGTAATTACAAACAGCTGTGAGCGAGCTGCCATGTCATGCTGGGAATAGGACCTGGGTTCTGCAACGACATTTTGTTTATGATCTAACAAATAAAGCTTGCCTGAAGATCAGAGTGCAGAGCTAGCCTCACTAGTTAGCCACAGAGGGCAGGCAGTGGTAGCACACACCTTTAATCCCAGTACTTGGGAGACAGAGGCAGACTCTAGTTAGTTCAAGGCCACCCTGGGCTACACAAAACTGATACAGTCTAGAAGAGAAACAGAGCTCACAAAAGGTGGCCCCAGCACCTGGAGAGACATGCCTTTAATTCCAGCACCAAGGAGGTGGAAACCGGAAGGGATATGGCTGGGCGGAGAGAGAAATAGAAGGTGGGAGGAGATGGGGCTCATGGCAGTTCTGAGGTGGCAGTCCCAAACAGTCTGAAGATTCAGTCTGAGGATTCATAGGGACAGGATCACCCCTTTGGTTTGAAGATTCAGTAGAGGTAAGAGGTCTGTCTCTTTTGTGGCTGGTTCTTTTACTTCTCAGACCTTTCAGTATTTACCCCGATATCTGACTCTGGGTTTTATTATTAAGATCTATTGGAACTCGTGCTACAGTCCTTTGGAAGAGCAGCAAGCGCTCTTAACTTCTCCAGCCCCTGGAGTTCTTTTTTAGACGTTCTGGGTGGCTGACGTGGTTAATCCCAGCATGCAGGAGGCAGAGGCAGTTGGAACCTCTGTGAGTTCGAGGCCAGCCTGGTCTACAGAGCAAGTGCCAGGACAGCCCCCAAAACAATACAGAGAAACCTTGTCTCGAAAAACAAAACAAAAACAAAATGTAACATGGACAGGCCATGTTCTCATTGGACTCCTTAGATAAGATACAAACACTAACTCAAAATGGACTAGTAACTTAAAAATAATTGCTAAAACCACAATGCACTGTAATTTCAGATTTAACAAGATATATCAAATTCTTAAGAAGGACCTCAAAGCCGGGCGTTGGTGGAGCACACTTTTAATCCCAGCGCTCAGGAGGCAGAGGCAGGTGGATCTCTGTGAGTTCGAGACCAGCCTGGTCTACAGAGCGAGTTCCAGGACAGCCTCCAAAGCCACAGAGAAACCCTGTCTAGAAAAACAAAAACAAAATACAAAACAAAACAAAAAACAAAAAGAAGGACCTCAAAAGCACAAAGTAAGATGAGCTGGACTCCATAATTCAGCAGCTCTCTCTGTGTATCAAAGGACCCTATCAACAAGTAAGGGCCAGGGCTGGGGAGGCGGCTCAGAGCTCAGGAGCACTGGCTGTTCTTAGACCTGAGGGCAGGTCTCCACTTCCACTGCCAAGGGTGTTGTGTGAGGGAGGCTGGGGACAGGGGAAGGCTGTGGGTGCTCTAGAAATGTCTTCCTTAAAGAAATCAGGGTTTCCACAGTGGCAACCTCCTAACAAGCTGCATAGCCTGAACGCTGGCTAATCTGCAGAGGCTGGCGTCGGCAATTAACTGCCCTCATTCCAGTCCCAGCAGCGCACTACCATGCGCTCAGCAAATTCCGCAGCTGCTTATCTCTGCTACTGCGTATCTATGTGTGTGCCTTGCACAGTACGTCAGAGGACAACTGCAGGAGCTGATCTCTCCTTCCACCATGTGGGTTCCAGGGATCAACTCAAGTCAGGCTTGGCAGCAAGGAGGCATGGCTCCAGCCCAGGCCTGCGTTCTCATCAGAGAGCTACGCGGATGCCCGGGTGACACAAGGCGACACGCCTCTCTCGTCCCTATGTCTGTAAACTGTCTCAAAACCAAGTGCTTTGCTATTGTGTACAAGTCTCCTCTTAAGATATGACCAACATAAAAGTCAACAATTATTTGTACTGTTTGAACTCAAATGGGGTTTTTTAATAGAATTTTTAAATTTAAAGACTTTATTTTATGTGTATGAGTGTTTGACTTGTATGTTTATCTGTGTGTGGTGATATCTCGCTTGTACAAATAACCCTGTCTGAAAATCAGAGGATGGAGCTTGCCACTAGCTAACCATAAAGGTCAGGAGGTCTGTGCGGACAAACAGGAAGTGAGATGGCTGGGCAGAGGGAGGACATAAGCGGGAAGAAACAGGAACTTGCTCTTTTTCACTGGGAAGCTAATGAGGTAAAGGTGGCTATGGCTTGCTCCTCCTTCTCTCTGATCTCTCAGCATTTTCCTCTATATCTGACTCTGGATTTTTACTATTTAGACCAATTAAGAACTCCATTTACATCTGTGTAGCATGTGTATGCCTGGGGCCCATGGAAGCCAGAAGAACTAGAGTTACAGTTATGAGCCACCAAATAGGTGCTAGGAATTGAAACAGGGTCCTCTGGAAGAGCAAACAATGGCCTTAGCTGCTGAGCCATCTCCAGAGCTACAGAGTTTTAAAGAAAACCTCCAGGGCTGGAGAGATGGCTCAGAGATTAAGAGCACTGATTGCTCTTCCAGAGGACCTGAGTTAAATTCCCAGCAACCGTATGTTGTCTCACAACCATCTATAATGAGATCTGGTGCCCTCTTCTGGCCTTCCAAGGCTGAATGCTTTATACATAATAAATAAATAAATCTTAAAACGTCCTAAAAAAAATAAAGAACACCTCCATATGATGACTCCACCATGCTTATGAGATGCTTGAAGCTGGAAATGAAGTGAAATAAATTGTTGAAAGCAAGTCAATAAATGATCACAAGGTCACATATTAGGAGTTTCAATTCCTGGAACCCTGATACTATTTTACCTTAAAAGTATCTACTCTAAAATTCTAAGTTGTTTTTTAGTCTACAGAGGAGCAAATACAGAAACAATACATGAGCCCAGAGTATGTACCGGTAAAATGACACAAGGCTGACTCCACAGCTTGGGAGTTTGGAACAAGCACTAGGACTTCCTAGCAGGCCAAGAAGAACTCTACCAGTCATTTGTCACGAGCCTGGAACTGTGTGTGTCTTCCTTTATTTGGAATGAGGGTTCCTAGAGGATCTGGGCTTGCTCACCAGCCGGCCAGCTCCTGGCATACACTCCTGTCTCTGGCTCCCCAGCACTAACGACAAATGTGTACTTGGCTTTTTTGTTTGCTTGTTTTCAAGACAGGGTTTCTCTGTATTATTTTGGAACCTGTCCTGGAACTCACTCTGTAGACCAGGCTGGCCTCGAACTCACAGAGATCCACCTGCCTCTGCCTCCCGAGTGCTGGGATTAAAGGCGTGCGCCACCAACGCCCGGCCCAAGGGTTTTTCTTATGTTTGCATGGAAAATACTTTACCAACAGAGACATCTCTCCAACCTCAAAACCTGCATCTTTCTAACATAACTCTTTAGGTTTGAAGGCTTGTTTGTCTGATTTTGGTCACTGTAAGATAGCACAGGCTCAACAGGGAATGGTGGTGCATGCCTTTAATCCCAGTGCTCGGGAGGCTGAAGCAGGAGGATCTCTGTGAGTTCCAGGCCAATCTGGTCTACAGAGCGAGTTCCAGGACAGCCAGAACTATACAGAGAAACACTATCTTGAAAACAGAGAAAGAAAAAAAGATAGAAAAGGCCATGGTAAGTCAGCTATAATCCCAGCACTTGGTGAATCTCTATGAGTTCAAGGACAGCCTGATCTAAAGAGTGAGTTTCCAGGACAGCACAACTGTTACACAGAGAAACCCTGTTTCAAAAAACAAAAACAAGAAACAAAAAATAAACAAATAACAAAAAAGGGGGGCATGGTAATACATCCCTGTAATTCTAGAACTCAGGAGGCTGAAGCAAGAAGATTCTCACTCAGGTTAATATACAACAAACCTGTGTCAATCAATCAATCAGAGAGAGCCAAAGGGGTACTCTGATAGGAAGGGGTTGCCTAGAAAATGCTGTTATGTGGGCTCTCAGGACACTACAGTCACAGTTCACAAGGGCCCAACTGCATCTTCTGCTGACAGAATGTGGCACTATCCATGCGGTGCCACCTTGCATGTTTGCAGAACTGAAGAGTGGGGTGATGAAGGCTTACACTACGGTCCAAAAGAAAAGCAAGCAAGGCTAGGCAACGCACTGCAGGGCTAGATTTCCTTCATGGATTCCCACGGAGACGGTGAGCGAGCGACACTGTGGTCGCTATCACTTAAGTCAAAAGGAGATCTTAGGGTGCTGGCGATGCTGAGGGGCAGCTGCAGGCACCAAGGGAAGCGGGTCAGGCTGCAGCGCTGCGAATGGCAAAGCCAAGGAGGTGGGACCACGACCACCACCACCATGAGCACCATGACCACCACGAC